TTTCCTGAGTATGTCTTCGTTGTGTTCTTGAGTTTGGAAAGCTGGGCATTGACCTCTGTTGTTTCCTTAAAGCAAATACAAAGCAAATACAAAATTCTTTATACCAGGGCTGGGGAAGTGCGTCTGGCAAGCTCTGTGGACTTGTCTTCTGTGCTCAGAATATACAATAAAACACTACAAAGAGAATGCAGAGTTTGTAGATTTCATATATATATATATATATATATATATATATATATATATATATAACAAATAAGATGCAGTATTATTGTAAGTATGTGTTGAGGAGAAATATGTTTAAAACTGGAGCTTAAACATGTAAAGTTTTTGTTGGTTCCATAGAGAATTATTTCAGGAAAAGTGAGTTTATAACCCAGGGTGAAAAAAAGTAGTTACTGCCTGTTGGATGGTAGGTGATCCTGGATTGAGTGAAGTCGGGGTGAGGTAGAGTTTTGAGAATGAACCCAGTGGGTTGATGGGTTAACATTCAGTGATGGCCCGGAGTGCAGCTATGGTTGTTTTCCTATGTTACTTGCAAAGCTACTGAGTAGAAAGAAGTCTTTACAGTACAGTTTTGGAAAGTTGTGTTTCCCTTTTGGGAATTCAGGTGACTGCTGAAGTTACAGGAGAAACCCATCCACAGATGCTAGTTGTGGTTTAGGAAGGCTGGGGACAGAAGTGTAGGAATAAAGATTTGAAATGACGGAAAGAATGAAGACGGCCTCCGGTGAGTCATCTAGACAGTTGGTTTACTGGTTGCCTCTGCACCAGGGGCCGGTGAAGGATGATTGGGATTTTGATAAGCCCCTGACTAAGGAGGCACCTGGCTCTGGAATCTGCAATCTCTGTGTTCAGCTTCCTGAAGTTGGGCGAATCGTTTCAACTTCCTTACAAAACGAGAGCGTTGCAATGAGGCTTTCCAAGGGGTGGCCAGTCTACAAGTCTTGAGTTTGAGACGCCAAGGCAAGGTCTCTGGGTCTCCCTTCGCAGGTATCTAGACTGTCTCCTGCCATGAATTTTCATGCACTGGGACTCTAGTTTATCAAATTAAGAAAATGGCAACAGCCAACACAATAGTAGCCCTCCAGTGTGAAGGGATCAAAATCATACCTTTTTTTCTTGTCAGATCAGAAAATAATAGAATACATTTTTGTGGGCTGCAGGATGTTGGTAGTTTCTATGTGCTGTGAGATAAAAAAGCAGGTTGGAAATCTCTGCCTAGCATCCTGCGGAAGAGCCTGAGTTTGGGAATCAAATGGCTCAGATCTTGGTGCTACCAAGTCACTGCTGATCTTGACTTTGCTTCTTCAGCTCCAACGCTTGGGCAAGTTGATTACTTTATCTGAGCTTCTGCCTCCTTATTTGTGAAATTGGGAAGAAAATAACGGTTTTTATGTCTATTACATGACTTAATGCACGTAAAGCACGCAGTGAGATCCTCGGCATACTATAAACATTTCTATTATTAAATGGCTATAAATACAGTGAATACACTTGTATTAACATGAATTTGAGCATTTTTCAATATGAGACTTTTCAATATGCCCACATTCCCCTTTGACGGTCAAAATTCACTTTATAGTTACGCAGAAGCTGAATTAAATACTTTTGTCCTTTTACGAGGATGCAGTAATTAAAATCCATCACAGCATAACTATCTTAAAATCACCACATGATATGAAGAAACAGAGTCTATGAATTAATGAAACATGAACGTCTGAGCATCTCACTGTGCATAGTTAATATTTAAATGGCTAATGAATGCAATTTTAGTTTTCGTCCATACTTGTGTAGAGCCACTGAGCTATCTCACATGTAACTGTCATTAATATCCGGGGATTACCCCTTTCGTGGCTGGGAGGTCACGCAGGGGCTGCGGTGTGCCCCCAGGGCGGCCAAAGAAGGCATCAGTGATTGCACAGGGCAGTCCGACACTCGCACGCCAGGCCAGAGTGGAATTCGATGGAAAAGAAATAGCTGACTCGCCTGTGATTGAAGCCTCACACTATCCTTTCCTTTTCTATCTTTTCTTTCCTACGCCGACACTAGGAAGAGCTATTTCTAGTCTAGATGAACGAACACCGAGTACACTACTTCTGAATCCTGACATGTTAAAAAATGAATGAAGTATGAGGTTCAGCTTGGCTTTTCACATAAATCTTGCATACTCCACTCGGGTCATAGGAACAGCAGGACTGACGCGGAATCTGCTGGCACTGCAGTCAGGGATCCGTGGTGTCTGAATGCCAGTTCGCATTTACTGTGAGCCTGGGAAAGTTCTCTCTCTCTCTCAAAAAAATAAAATAAAATAAAATATATATGGATTTCAGGCAGGAAGGGAGAGGGAGAAGGAGATAGAAACATCAGTGATGAGAGAGACTTATTGATTGGCTGCCTCCTGCATGCCCCCTAGTGGGGATGGTGACCGCAACCTGGGCATGTGGCCTGACAGGAAATCCAACCGGGACCTCCTGGTTCATAGGTCGACATTCAACCACTGAGCCATGCCGACTGGGCCCTCCTCTCTTAATCCAAGTTTTGCATCCATGACTTAGGGATAATAACACCACATTTGTAGGCAGGTTGGATTGGGTGTAAGGATTAAATGAGATAATGCCTGCCAGACAGTTTCCGAAGTGCTTGGCATATAGCAAACTGAATGAATGTTTCCCCATAATTATTGTTGTCATTAAACGGCTACAAATCGCAATTGGAGGGACACACTTTGCAGAAGTGGATGATAGCAGCATGAGCTGCCTGAGGATTAGAGCTGGAGAGGGGCGAAGACATGCACCATGTACCTGTCCCCTTCAGATTTCCCACAATCCTTCACCTGGCCAGTGACTTAGGTTATACTGTAACGAAAGGCAGGACTGTGCACTTGTGTGTTAATAAGTGATCCCAGCAGAGAGAACGTTCTGGGATCCCCCAGCTGCCCTGTATCAGCCAATGGGTGTGATGGAAAACTGAGAGCGGAGGGGAGTATTTCCTCTTGTTTACTGAGAGCACTCTCTTCCAAGCTGAGGCATTCTATTTTAGCCTGGCCGCAGGGGCCCAGTGGGCTCAGTCCCTCGTGGGGGACGTGGTTCTCTCTCATCATTGATGTTTCTCTCTCTCTCCCTCTCCCTTCCTCTCTGAAATCAATAACAATATTTAAAAACGAACCACACATACTGATTTACTAGTTTAGGGTGTAGAGTGCATAGACGGTGTTTGGACCGGAGGAAAAGGGAAGCTTGCTTGAGTTTACCTGACAGTGGGCTCTGCTCCATGGAGAGACCAGGTGGCTGGATTTGATTTAAGAGTTCTGAGACTCTGTTCCGTATTTCTATGAGTGTCATTCTCCATCCATTTATAAACTTAAGTACCTGTCCATTTGAAGTAGTCAGTAGGGAGGGAAATGTCATTTATTTTGCATATTAGATAATATCTAACACTACCAAAAAGGTTTACCACTTACAAATAGCAAAGTTCCCAAATGTGAAATAGATGATAAAAAAAAAAGAATGTTTATTGCTATTCAGAAGCATTATAATTATTATCGATTCCTTAATTCATAGCAAACCTTCAAAACAGAATTGCATCAAAATGGGAAATTTCAGGACTCAAGAGTTGTAGAGTTTTCAAAATCCAACCTGGACCACAGTGTTGAACCCTAAAAGCAGAACCAGTTTGGAGTGGTTCATGCACATGGGAAAACGCAGTGGTGTATTTTTGGCAAGCCCTAGGACATGACTACACGACGGGGTTAGCCTAAGAGAAATGGATGTTTTCTCTGTTCCTCACCCTGAGGAGAGGTTAATCCTGGGATCAAGTGAGATTCTAGCTAATTTCAGTGGTGGGGCTGAAATGATACACTAGCCCTCTTCTTTGTAATTATATCATTCCATCTTTTACTAGGTGACTTAAATGAGATAGGTGTCCTCGTTTGGGTCTTCATTGAGGACTTTTCTGTATCAGTTCCAGATACCTATTCATTTTTGTTCACTCACTTAAGGAGTGATTATTGGGCTTTGGGCAAGGTGCTGGTACACAGATATTTGAGAACCATGTAGGAGAAAGTATATTTCTGGCACACTGGTTGTCTTGTCATGTGCTTACGATGGTGAAGAGAAACTGAAGGTTTCAGCACAGAAGACACCTGAGCAGTTCCTTGTTCTGGATAAGGCGTCCTCAAACTTTTTAAAGTGGGGGCCAGATCACGGTCCCTCAGAGAGCTGGAGGGCCGGACTATATAAACTACTAATTCCTACTGTAACACCTCGGCTGCGCTCACTGCCCAAAAAACCTGGCGGGCCGGATCAGACTCCTCTGCGGGCCGCATGTGGCCCGAGGGCTGTAGTTTGAAGACGCCTGTTCTGGACTCTGACAGACTGTCCTCTGGTTCTTAGCCACTAAGCAGGGAGTGTCCATCAAACTAAGAGGAATGTTGTACAGCCTCTTCCTCTTTACTGTAGTGGGTAGGGGTCACATGAGTGCAGCATGGGGAACAGGAGTGCTAGACTGTGGCCCTCAGATCTGGGTCATATCTCTGGTCTTGTCTCTGGTTTCCAGATTAAATCTAGAAAAGTGGACTCATCTTAACCAACCATAAATGCCATCCTCGGAAAAGCAGATTATGGGGCCATTAGATAATCTTGTTGTACCCTTCCGTCTCATTTGGGTTGTTTTGAAATGTAAATGAGGTAATATTTGCAAAGTGCTTCACAGAGTACCTGCCACCCAATACCAATAACGACAAATACTTTAATATCCGGTATTGTGTACCAAGTCCCATTCTAATCATTACATGTGTAGGCGTTCATTCAACTTGGGAAGAACATACTGTCATTATCTCCATTTTATAGGAAAGGAAACTGAGGCATAGAGCTGAGCTAACTTGCTCCAGACCTCATAGCGGTGACCCCTAATCAGAGTTGTCATTCAGGTTGGCACTCTCTCAAATGGGCAGCTTTTGTGATGGTTGACATGCCTCCTCATGGTCTCCTTCTCTCTCCCAGGTGTCATTGAGACGTCAGATCGCCTGGACCGCGAGTCGACCTCCCATTACTGGCTGACCGTCTACGCCACCGATCAGGGTGTGGTGCCCCTCTCCTCATTCGTAGAGGTCTACATCGAGGTGGAGGATGTCAATGACAACGCACCCCAGACTTCAGAGCCGGTTTATTACCCAGAAGTCATGGAAAATTCTCCCAAGGATGTGTCCGTGGTCCACATTGAGGCATCCGATCCAGATTCTAGCTCTAATGACAAGCTGACGTACAGAATCACCAGTGGAAACCCACAAGGCTTCTTCTCTATACATCCTAAGACAGGTATGCCTGAAAACTACCGGATGACATGCTCTTTTTATACTCTCCCAATAGGGGAGCATTGAAGAACGAGTGCTCCGATTTTCTTTAGTTGTTTTTTTGTTTTGTTTTGTTTTTAATATATTGTATTGATTTTTTTACAGAGAGGAAGAGAGAGGGATAGAGAGTTAGAAACATCGATGAGAAAGAATCATCGATCAGCTCCTCTTGCACACCCCCACTGGGGATGTGCCTGCAACCAAGGTACATGCCCTTGACTGGAATCAAACCGGGACCTTTCAGTCCGCAGGCTGACGCTCTATCCACTGAGCCAAACCGGTTTCGGCCGATTTTCTTTAGTTTTTAATAAGCTGTTTCCCTTTTGAGTTGTTCACAACAAGTCTATTGCCAGATGAAATTTTAATCCAAATAGGTTTTTCCTTTGAATTTGCTTTTATAAAGCTATTTTATGATTTTGCATATGAGTGGAGTTTCACTTGCAGGTTAAAAAGCAAATATTGTTTCAGTAATAGCTCCTCAATTAGTGGTATCTCTTTTCCCCCCCATTAATTTATTCCCTGTATTTCTCTTTGAATAGGTAAATGCTTAGGACCAAAGTACGTTTTAGAACCTCATCCACTGAGAATTTCATGCTGAATTTCAAAAAAAAAAAAATTTGCACATTTCTTCCTAGGCCTATTAGCTTCCAAACTTACTGCAAACTTTATGGCTGTTAAGTATTCCAGTTTTCTTAACTACTTTTTTTTTTTCCCCCCAATGTATATTTTTACTAGAGGCCTGGTACATGAATTCGTGCACAGGTGGGGTCCTCTGGGTGGCCGGCGGGGATTGGCCGAAACACACAATCCAGTGCCGCCTGCAGCTCCTCCCTGCCGCTCCCCTCATCCCCACCCCAGTGTGCCTGCCTCCGGCTCAGTCCCGATCGATCGGGAGAGGCTCTCGATCGATCGATCGGGAGAGGCTCTCGCTGCCCAGCAGAGCTCACCAGCCACGAGCCCTGCATCTGGCGCCCTCCCAAGGGGAGTGGCCTGTAGGATCAGGCTGAAACCGGCTCTCCAAGATCCCTCTAGGGTTCCTGGATTGCGAGAGGGACAGGCCAGGCTGAGGGACCCGACCAGTGCAGGATCGGGCCGGGAGGGACTGTGGGAGGGCTCCAGGGTGTGTCTGGCCGGTCTTGCTCAGTCCAGATTGGCCGGACTCCAGCACCAAGCTCACCTACTGGTGAGAACATCTGCCCCTGCTGGTTAATGATCATAGTTGACTATCTGCCCCGCCCCCCCCCCCCCATGGTCAGTGTACTTCATAGTGAGCGGTTGAACAGCCTTAGCATATCTTTAGTATATTATGCTTTGATTGGTTGTTCAGTTCTGCCATTTGGTCTATTTGCATATTATCCTTTTATTATTTAGGATTGATTTCAGAGAGGAAGGGAGTAGAAGAGGGAGAAACATTAATGATGAGAGAATCATTGATTGGCTGCTTCCTGCATGTCCCCAGCATATGCCCTTGACTGGAATTGAACCGGAGACCCTTCAGTCCGCAGGTTGACACTCTATCCACTGAGCCAAACCAGCTGGAGTCTTAATTACTTTTTATGAAGAATATCTAGAGTTTGTTACACAATTCACAGTCATTTATTTTGTGTTGTTATGTTGCTTGGAGTTTTTCTTTAGAGCAGTAAGGGTCTGGACTCATTGTTTTAAAATTGGGAGAAGTTACTTTCTTGAACTGATAGCTTGGGTTTTCTGTTTGCTCCTCTCAGTGTCTGAACCCTTGCTTCTAAGCAGAAGGCATGTTGACTCCGAAATCCTCTTCCAAAATTCTACAGACTTCTAACCTTTATTTCTTTACATTAGACAATACATCTACGTGTCTCTTAGTCCTTGCTTTCTTTTCTTTTTTTACATTATTTTGCAAAAGAGAAAGAGGTTCACACTAGATTCATTTGTGTAGGGCAAAGTTGGCTATTGCTTATGCCCTGAAAATTTCACATGTGGAAACCTCAGGTTTCTTAATTAGAATGGAAACAAAAACCCGCCATGTGACATTGAGAAGACAGTTTATTGAAAATAAAGCTTCTTATTGAATAGATCACCTGGCCTTTGAGCCAAGATGCTTTGGCTACGTGTTCGGCTGAATTCTGCCATGTTCCTCTGATGGAGCCTCGGAGGAAGGTTTGGAGACACAGGAAACCAGGAATTGGTTAATGACTGAGCCATGGAAGAACATAATTATACGGGGCAGAAAGGGGATCTGAGGGTTTTTCTTCTGGGAAGCATTAGGGGCAGGGCGCAGGACCCCAGCCTATGAGAAGGGGCCAGAATTGAGAGGGTATACAGGAGCAGGAAGGCCTGACACAGCATCTTTAAACGGTTAATAAAAGGCTCGTATCAGCAGTGCAGTCGCACACTCTTTACTGCACAAGTAGTAGCCACATTCCGCCTTCTTTCTGCAAAATCAACTGAAAGAAAACCGCTAAAAAAATCAGGGCACTGCCAAATGTAAAAGAAGCAAGATGAGAAATGTATACCGATTTGGAAGGAGGATTTCAGAGTTAAGAAACTATTTGCCTGAAAGCAAGCCTTGAGAAACAGCGAAATTTAAAAGCCAAAGCCGCCAGGCGGTAATTCAAAAACTAACATAAGCACTCCTTTTAAAACATTGTTTGACGATGTAGACTTCAAGATGATTTCATGTTTCTTTATGTTGTCTTTTAGATTAGGTTAAGTTCTCTGTTGAAGAGACGGGCAAGAAAGCCATCAATGGCCTTTTGAATGTCTGAGCAAACATAGGTCTGGACATGATGTATATCGGAGGAGAAAGAAACTTAAGGAAATTCTCTCTGTCAGAGCCCTGGGGCTCTGAAGCAGTGATAGCACTGCTGTACTGTTAGGTCTTGTGCAAACAGGATTCGTGTGGCATTGCCTCTCCCTGTTACATCCCTCTGTCCGGACAACACTTGGGAAACGATGTGTGCAGAGACCTCTTCCTTAGATGAGGGAGAAGAACCCGTCCCAGCCAGCTCCCAACCCTGAGCAGGAAGCACATGCGTCCTGCTGCCAGGACAGCAGAAGACAATTCCTAAGGATTACAGAGAGGGTTTATTTTCTTTAGGATTTGGGCAGGTAACAGTGGGGAATAACTACAGTTAGCACATAGGCATGTTTGTCGTGAGGTATATCATAGACTGTGTAGCTAGTGAAGAAATCTGATAGTTCTGCCAATCACCTGATGGCTTTCAAGATCAAGAAATAATTGTATTGTGTCTGGCCGGTGTGGCTCAGTGGCTGAGGTCATGGTTCAATTCCGGATCAGGGCTGGATCCCCAGGGTGGGGCATGCAGGAGGCAACCGATCCATGGTTCTCTCTCATCATTTGATGTTTCTTTCTCTCCCACTTCGTTTCTCTCTGAAATCTGAAAAAATATATATTTTAAAAAAAGAAATAACCACGTTTTAACTGAGTATTGCAAATACAGCTTCCCAAGGCCTGTGTCTAGATGGCTCTCTTCCCTCCGCTCGGCAGAAAATTGGCACATGATCCTCAGGGTCCAAAAGGGCAACGCTTCAAAGAATCCTCCTTCCCCAAGACTTTCAAAGCAGACGGAGTCCTAACAGGGAGGCCAGATGGGGAGAGCTGATGAAAGGCAGTCTGGTCGAGAGAGTTCCCATGAGTTACTGACCCAGAACACCACCTGGAGGACCTGAGTCATGTTGTTTAATAATTACTGGCTGAGTGAGAAAATTACTGGGCTGGAAACCAAGAAGTCTGGGCGACAGCGTGGCCTTCCCTCGGGGACCCTGGGGAAACGGGCTCCCGGCCCTGGCTCTGGCCCCGGCCCTGGCCTTGTGTGACCAGCGATGGTGCTGGCACGCCTGGTGAGTGAGGCCCTGTGTGCAGAGGGCGGCGCTCAGACCCAGGTATGGGGAGGATGCTGCAGCCTCTCTCACTGGCATGTGCTACTTTACTGCTAAACAGAAGAGAACATACGTGTGCATCTCCTTTGGATAAACAGCGCTGACCAAGTACAATGAGTGTAACGTGCTGCTTAGGGGTGAAGGGGTCTTTAGGACCCTGGGGAGTGTCCAGGCCGGCGAGAGGAAAGCCTAGTTCATGGCCATTGAGATCATGTGTTTATGCAGCAAGTGCATGTGAGCCTCATTTCTGTATGCAGCGCATTCAGAAGTGCTTTGGCCGAAACCGGTTTGGCTCAGTGGATAGAGCATCAGCCTGCGGACTGAAAGGTTCCGGGTTCGATTCCAGTCAAGGGCATGTACCTTGGTTGCGAGCACATCCCCAGTAGGGGGTGTGCAAGAAGCAGCTGATGGATGATTCTCTCTCATCGATGTTCTAACTCTATCCCTCTCTCTTCCTCTCTGTAAAAAATCAATTAAAAAGAAAGAGAGAGAGAGAGAGAGAGAGAGAGAGAGAGAGAGAGAGAGAGAGAGAGAGAGATGCTTTGAAAAGTGATCGTCAACGAGGGTGAAAGAGCAGAGAGAAAGAGGGGGCGTATAAAGGGGGGGGACCGATAGTGGGCTAGAGGTTTCATACACACTTGCGGAGGAAGTAGGGGGGGCACATTTGGAAGGAGTGGTGAGTTAGTGGCCAAGAGACGACGTTAAACGACATACACTTGCTGGAAAACCTTAGCTACCAGAGGAAGGGCAGAAGGGTGTTTATGTGGTGTTTACAAACAGTGACCTGTTTTTGAGTGTCTCCAAGCCATCCCTTGGAACATGTTGTGTAAACATCAATGCGGCGACCTCGCTCTGTCACTTGGGAGAGGAGAAGACTCCACAGCACCCGTCCTCCCTCTGGCGTGCGATGGCAAAACATTTGAAACCGAAACCAGGAAATCGTCCTGGGGCTGGATCTGATCATCTGAGTTTTGGGTTCCAAATGACAAGTTTGAATGAACATTTTTTTTAAATTTTTATCTCCCAGCCAAAGTTCTGGTGCTCGGCGGTGGTGCCAGGAGCCGTCTTTCTACATCTCAGATGGTT